ACGGAACCTTCCTTCGAAAAATTAATCTCTTTGTTACAAAATATTTGACATTTTAAGGTGTTTGTATTTGGTTTGAGTGAAAACACAATTTTTTCATTTTCAAAAACATTTCTTATTGTGATTTTTATGAATTTTTCTATATCAGCAATGTCATAGGTACCTTCTGGAATCGTGATTATTTTATCATCTATGTACAACTTGTTATTATTTTGATCAATATTCGGAATACTCATAAAAGTTTCAAAATCAGCTAATCCTAAATAATATTGTTTTTTATCATCTAAATATATAGGAGGGTTAAAATCTGCTGACAAAATGGAAGTTTTCCCAGATATGGTAATGGTTGTAGACATTTTAGTAATAAATAGTTTTAGCACCTAGACTTTCCTTTTTATATTATTATTCAGAAATTTTAGTGCTAATTGTCCACAATTGAATGAATTTAATTTTTGTTGAGTTTTATATGTGTAATATATATTAGCTTTACCATTTGAGTTGAAATATGCTACAAGTTCGATAGGTGGTTTTAAATTTCCAAAACTGTCAAAATAAATTACATTTTTATGTATTTTGATGTAGGCGGTCCAATGGGTTCCGTCATTTTCTTTATTATCCAAGTTAACTCTACCACATTCAATTATCTTAATTTTTCTAGGAAGACCATTTCTCATAAAAACACCTCTAAAATTTGGAATTTTCAAATCTTTCACAAATTTGAGTATATCTATATTTGTAAGGGCCCTGCCTGGAAATTTCATTTGGACTTTTTTTTTATGTGGTTTTTTAATTTACCACCTTTATAAGGTTTTAAAAATAATCCTTTGCCTTGAAAACGGTCTGCTTTAGAGGATTTAGACCCCTTTCCTTTCGAAACTTCCATGGCTTTATTATGACGTCGTAATTCTTCTAGTTGATCTCTGCCAGCTTTAGCGTCATTGACAGCTTTAGCAATTCCAGCAGCACCACCCCCTAGAGCCCCTAAAGCTCCCAGCAGTGGAAATAGTAGAGGTAGGAAACCCCCAATTTTTTTAGGAGGTTTTAAAATTCGTTTTTTTCTCAATTTTCCACCTTTCTTTGAACCCAAACCCATGCCAAATTTGCGTTTACCCTTCATGAGACCTGCAACAGTCATGGCGGCAATTTTTTCACCGAAAGAAGAGTCTTTAGCTTTAAATCGCTTCAAAGCTTTGTCGGCTAAAATTTTATCTGCTTCGTGTCTTTTGAATAGTTCTTCAGATTGAGAATATGCAATGTCGTGCTCCCGACACGCGTCATCCAAAGAATTGATACCGACGTCTTCTCTGGCCAATCTTGTTTTCAAGTCAGTGCCTGGGCCACAAAATTTATACCCAGGAATGTGGATTTCAAAAGGAAGTTTGTTTATAAGCTTATTTACTAGACCTGAGCCTTTTTTAAATTTACTGTCTCTCGTATAATGTGTAATCATCAAAAGAATCAATTTGGAACTAAAACAAAAAAATGGAGGAACTTATATATAAATACTTTTTTCTCTCTTCTTTTTCTTAGTACTATTTCGAATATGAGAATAGAAAAGCAAAAATTTTCAATCCCCATAGTTAATCATGATCAAAAAGTGAGTTCACAGCAATTTAGAAAACATGGTGATTTATTTGGTGGAAATTCGAAAAGAGCGCTTATTGTTGGAAGTTCAAATTCAGGAAAAACCAATCTGATGCTTACACTATTAGAGCATCCAAATGGTGTTAGATTTGAAAATGTGTATATTTATTCAAAATCACTGACACAACCTAAATATGCATACTTGAGAAAACTCTTACTACCTATAAAGGAAATTGGATATTTTGAGTACGAAAATGATGAGTGTATTGTCCCACCCAATGATATAAAATCAAATTCTATAATTATATTAGTAAGACATAAAAAAATACCGATTGCTTTCTAATTTTTCAAGGATATTCCTCAATTTTCAAAAGATTAATAAGGGAACATTCAAATTTAATTATATTATTTAAACAAGATTCGACAAGTTTGAAACATATATATAATGACCACTGCATAATGGACATGTCATTTGATCAGTTTAAAGAAATATGCACTTATTGTTGGAAGGAGCCATATGATTTATGGTAATTGACAAAGATTGTGACTTAAGTGCTGGTAGATATAGGAAAAACCTCGATTCATTTATATATTTATAAAACGATTGAAAACTAACATGGATAAACGCTCAGCAAGAGAATTAGTCAAGTCAAGAAAAGCAGTAAGGGATAAATTCCAAGCGCTCAAGTTAGCTTCTTCGACCGCACAATTAGAATTGGAGAAAGCGTATAGGCCCATTACACAACCACTTAAAGAATTTATTACAAATATTGGGAAAGCCGAACCACTAACATTCAAAGAGGAAGAAGAGTTTAATCCAAAAGAGGAGTTTTCAACCCCAAAATCTTCCTATAAAACTTCAACTCCAACTAGAGAAAAAACTCGAAAAAGTGGAAAGACTCCTATTCTACCTTTTGAACAACCGTCATTTTTTGATATGTCCATAAATCGATTACCTTCAGTGAGGGAGGTGGCTTCAATAAGAGAGATGCCTTCACTAAGAGAGATGCCTCCAATAAGAGAAGAAGTGACATTCGAAAGCTCACCTCAATCATCGACTGAAACAATTGGAAATTTATCTGACATTTTGGAACAAACAAAGCAGTCAATACAAACCTATGTTGGACATCCAGTCTATCTGGACTGGTTGAGTGATTTTCACGAGTTACCCAGAACGTATATTGACAATAGTGTAAAAGATACAGAACATAAATTTGATCACAATTATGGTATTGTCCACGATCTTGAAACAAACAATTTTTTTTTGGGATCTACTCAAATTCCTGTTAACTTGATCAATAAAGATATAAAAGTACTCGATATTCTCTACCCAGGCACCCCAGGGCTGTATGAATTATTATTCAAAAAAGAACCTGTGGGCTATAAAAAAGCCGATTTGGATAATTACATGGATATATTAACTCGAACTAATGCGTACCGCAGAAATAATAATCCCAATGAACAAGTACAAGGAAACAGTTCAGTAAAATACGTTACTATTATCGGACCATATTTATATAAAAAAGGAATCACAAAATCTAAAACAATCATTCCCAGACCGGTATTCGAAAAACCTATAGCTCCTTATAGAGCGGCTAAAAAAAAAGCTCAGATTGGAAAAGGTCTTATTTTGAAACGTAATAAAAAAAGTACAGATTATGTATATTGGGATAATGTTAATGAGCTAGTAAATCGTCTTCGAATTCTATTAGCTTCCAAGGCTGCAGGTCATAATGGACATCAAAATGAAATAATTTCTATTATAGAAGAGCTGAAAGAAGCGAAAGTTATACTATAAATAGTGAAAGATGGGGTGAAAGGATCAGTCTTTGAAGAGAAATATGACGGTTAATAAATTTGGGACACACATTTTTGATAAATGTGACGATAGCGACACTAAATCACTCAAAGTTGTTAATATTGCAGAGGTGAAATTATTCTATATTGTAGTTTTACCATTTGTTGGCAAACACAACCCAGCAGAAAAGAATTTGGTGTTATTAGGAGATGGTTTAAGAACCTCATACAGATATCCATTCGAATCGGGAACTATATTAAGCGGTGAATATCCTAAAAAAGATGTGAGTTTGTTGATTAATGGAAAAACTGGCAAATTAGAGGGTAGAGAGATTAAAAAAAATGATTTGATAGCATTTCGACGTGGTGAAAATAGTTCTTTAACTGAATTTTACGGTGAATTATTAATAAAATGTCAGGTTCAAGTGGAAACTTAGTTATTTAATTATGAGTGTTAAAGAAGACATAGTAAATGAATTGCATAAGCCTGCAAGAAGGGTTTTCAAAAGAACGCGGGTCATAGTAAAAAATCTAAATGATTTACTACAGGCCGACCTGGTTGAAATGCAACCATATGCTAAAATAAATAAAGGCAACAGATATATTTTGGTTGTAATAAATGCGTTTTCAAAGTATGTTTGGGCGCTACCAGTAAAATCCAAAACAGGAAAAGATGTGGCAACAGCAATGGGACAAATCTTAAAAAGTTTGAAAACTCCCCCAAAAAATATTCAAACTGACAGGGGAAGGGAATTTTTCTGCAAAGAATTTCACAAATTAATGGAGCAATATAAAATAAATCACTATAGTACATTTTCCAATCTAAAAGCAAGCATTGTTGAGAGGGTAAATAGAACCTTGAAAAACAAAATGTGGAAGAAATTTAGCATGCAGGGAAATTATAAGTGGTTAGATATTCTGCCAGAAATTGTTAATAATTATAACAACACAAAACATTCAACAATAAATATTGAACCTAGTAAAGTTAATAAAAGAAATGAAAGCAAAATTTTAAAGACGGTGTTCAGTCATGCAAAGACGTTCGATCCAAAAGTTCCGAAATTTAGAAAGGGTGACTATGTGCGTATCAGTAAGTATAGAGAAGCTTTCTCCAAGGGCTACACCCCTAATTGGTCAAATGAAATTTTTCGCATAAAAACATTGAAAAGGACTAACCCAACAACTTATTTAATCCAAGATGAAAACGGTCAAGATATTTCAGGAGGATTTTATCAACAAGAACTACAAAAAGTCCAACATCCTGATGCATATCTTGTAGAAAAAATTTTAAGAAAAAAAGGAAATAAAGTTTTTGTAAAATGGTTAGGTTTGGATTCCAAACATAACTCGTGGGTAAATAAAAAGGATGTATCAAATTAGCAATGCAAATAAAACTTTTAATAATATTGTTTTTTTTATTTCAAAACATTTTTTTTACAACAAATCTATTTTGGAAAACAGTGTCTCTATGTTTGCTATCTAGGATAGGTTTTAAAATAAGATCACATTTTTCAATTCTTCTGTTAAAATGGTGTTTTTCTATAAACTCATGTGCGATCATTCTTGATCTCTTGTAGGCAAAACTCCATGCAACCATCAGATGAATTCGGTTTCTACTTTCATCAAAAAAAACTGCTTTTTTCATGACTCCGTTTCAGTTTCAACTGCTGAATTAATTGCTTCGGGTAACAGATGAGACATTCCAACATTGTACTGACATTTTCACTATTGGGGTGGTCTTTTAGGGACAGGTTGTCTTGAATTTTTTGTAGACTGTCTTCTTCAATGGGACCAGAGCTTTTAAAAAAGTTCAAATATGTATTGAACTTTTGTTTTCGTAAGATATCCAATCGATAGTCAATTAGAGGCACCAGTTCCCAGAGCTTGCAAATACTTTCATTGCCTAGGTAAATATAACAATCACCTTTCACAATTTTTATTAATGGTATTTGCTCAAGTTTTTCAAAGTAAACAGCCACTTGATGAATATAAAGGGGTTCGGTGAAATTGTTATAGGAACAACTGTAACAGCTTATGACTCCCTGGTACTGTAGAATAGAGTTCCATTCCTCTTCAGTTAGTAATATAGATTGATTATTTTTACCACCAATCTGGATATGAGGTTCAAAATTATACTCAACAGCTAATCCAATATTGATGAATTTGGTTTGAGAATTATTCAAATAATATCGTTTAGCACTGATAATCGAAGAATCATTAACTTTAGACTTTTCCGATTCGCTGGCACTGCTACTGATTTTGCTAAACATTTTGTAAATACTAACGTTTTTGAAGCAAAGCATCGCTTTATATTCCTGGAATGGTTATGAAAAAGTGGGGAGGAAGAATAAGATTTTTTTTAAATCAATTAATAGCTTTTATTTTTTAAAAACAATAATATAGTGCATATAATAATACAAATTGATATTGTTAAAGCTAAACCTATTAAAAATACATTACAGTTATTGCTATCTGCTGCTTTTTCATTCAATTTAATCCAGTTTGAGTAAATAGTTTCCCTATTATTCAAATAAAATTTAATTTTGAAATAATTACATTCTTTTAAACAGATTTCAGTTAAATTATAATTGTAAACATAGGGGTTACTGCTCATGTATGTCAACCCCATATTTTGATAGCAATCAGTATCGTTTTTGAGTTTATTTATACATATTTTAGCCGTTCTACTAGTAGGAATATGGTTAACATACAATTTATTTCCAATTAGGGAAAATAGTACAACTAATGGTGCTACAATCATTATTCTTAAAATACTAACACTAACCTATTTAAATATGATTTATATACTAATTCCAACTGCGACTGTCATCGCTTTATGTCCATAAATAATACAAGTTCAATGTCATAATTGCGAAAAAACACAAAATAATGTGTTTTTCAAATTTCACGATGGTTTTTCCGTTCTTATCTTGAATATTCTTCAATCTTAGGGATTCACTTACACATTGAGCATAGGGGCAGTTTTTGCAATATATTAAGTGTTCTTCCAATGGTGAATCATTGACTTCCCAGTTGTATGCTTGAATTTTACAATATGGGCACTCACAAATATCCGAAACTTGAGTATAATAAAATCCAGCCTTTGCCAGTTGCATCGGACTTAATTTGCCTTTCCAATTTTTGAAACTTAATAACCGTTGTTCGAAACTTTTGTATGTAAAATAATCTTCTGGAACTGAATTTTTCATAATCACCATGTTATCGTCTTCTGCACACATGGTTGAAATGTTAAAGAAAACGAATATTCCATTTATATAGTATGTAACATCTGGCGGGGAAGTTTTATGTTAAACGGGGTTTTTTACTTTTTGTTTCACCTTCATTTTCCATAAGTAGTGCTTTCAGTGTATTTACCATACTCTCAATCACGGGAATATCGCAGTGCCCCCATGCCAACGTTTTTGTAGTACTTGAAAGTAGATATCGTTTATCATCATGGCTGCTCAATGCAATTTTACTTATGAAATTTGTATATATATTATGCATATCAGATTTAAAAACATACATTGTAACATAAATCTTATCATTCTTTTCAACTACATTTTTATAAAGGGATAGATCTAATTGTTTTTTTATAGTCGATTTGGATATGCCTTTTGCCTTTTTATCTAAGCTATTTTTAGTTTTTACGCAGTAGGCCTTACTTCCAGTTCCATAAAAGCTTTCAATGGGAATTCCACAATATTCATCTTTAAATTTACCAACTACTGAGGCAGTAATAGGCATGTTATGCATATTAGGGGTGGAATAATTAGATGTATCAAATTTCACCAGATTTTGCTTCATATCTTCGTAAAAGTTATCGGTCTGAATCTCCAATATCAAGCTATCGGTGTCGGTATATAACAAAGAAACATTTTTATCATATATTCCTTTCAAATGCCCATAGTAAAAATCATACATTACAGTTTTTGAAATGTCTAATACACACATTCCAACGTAAATAGGCTTGTCGTACGTAATGCATATTTTTTGAAGTTGAATTGCTACTAAATTTTCTGAGAAAATTTTCAAGTCTTTAAATTGTGGTTTGGCAATTAACCTTTCAGCACATAACTTTTTACCCGATCGTTCCCACTGTGTCACCAACTTAATATCGACTCGTTTCTCAACATTTTCCATAGTTTTTCCATATATGCTATTATTCGCCAGCTTATAAGAATTTTTGTGAAATTTGTTTTTTGCCGCGTTTCGTAACTTTGTATTCAAATCAATGTATGATTTCAACCAGGGCGATTGAGAAAATTTTACTGCTCTGTGAACTTTCAAAATTTTAAGTCCAAGTTGCAAACATTGTTTTAAATTGCGGTAATGTATAACATAGTTATACTTATTATTTAAATTAGGAATAAGTTTAGGATATTTTGATATTGGAGGCGTCATTTGTTCGGGACAAAGAGGTAAATCGTTATGCTTATCGTGAATATTTTCAGGGTACTCAAGGTCAACCTCAAACACATAGCCAATATCTGCATTGTCTGAGAGTTTTGAAATTTCAGTTGATTTTATTTCATCATCTGAAACCCAGGAAAAGTCTTTTTGTGGCAGGTATTGACTCATAGCATAACCATATAAATTGGTGGCATCTAGATAGGCAATATATGTTGTTGGAATATTTGGATTGAAAGTGTCAAGGAATGGATTATTTGCTTCAGATTTGCGAGATGTACAAGTACTTACTCCGCCTCGAATGCCTTTTTTAAAAAAATGAAGCATATCTGGATCTGTTATCAACTCTAACTCGACATTGCTCAATTTCATCATAGCATCCCAACACATTGATGGGCTACTTACATAGTTAACAGGGTCCAGTTTATATGTTTTAAGACATAAAGTTCTATAATTTTCAAAAATATCCGCCAACAATAAAACATCTGATTTTAGATAAATGTCAGAATATTCACCCAAAGTAGAACAGTTGAATAACTTCCACACTGATACAGCGCGTTCATAATCCTCAGCGGATATATTTTCATCACTTATGTTATTATAAAATTTATCTCTGGATGGTAGGGATACTTCGTTCAATTTTTCATATGAATCTATATATGAATATGGAAACACACCTTTTTGTCTAATTAATTGGAATTTGTTTCCTTCTGTGAAATGTTTTTTGATTTCTAGACATTGTGAATCTTCCAGAGTCTTGGATAGCGAGTCCAAAGACTCTGGTAAAAATTGAAAAGAGTCTATAAAACTTAATCTAAGCACTATTTTGTGTTTTGCATGGTAATCAACTACAATTTCTTTGCTAAATGAAATGTATTTTTCTTTATTTTGAGCAATTACATGAATATTTTCTTTATTTTTGCCTAGAGATTTAATAAATAGGTGACTATCATAATTTTTGAGACAGTGCAATACAACTGGAATTTGTCTAGGAATCTGATAGAAAAGATTGCATATGACATGCGCACTACCTCTATACTCTCCTGTAATATGACAGTGATCCCTACACTTCAAAAAATTACCCTCTGAAAATGGTTTTTCACAAATATGACATAAATTTGCATTTTCGTACTCTTTTTGTTGGGTACTTGTTAACCTCTTCATGTCAACTTTATTCTTCAAATATTTATGATAGATACTTACAACATCTATTTCAATTAATTCTATAAATTTTTCAGCACAGTTAGTCCCTCGATAAATCTTAAGAGATGAAATATTATCATCAAATGATGATTTAATGTAATAGCCAAAAGAATATGGTACATGTTCGGCAACTTTTTTTGTGTATGAGTTTGTAGGATCAACATTACCATCATCAACATTTTTTAAATAACATTCAAAATCAGCATAAATTGTAAATGGTGCCTTGTATTGCTTCTGTATATTTTGAAATTTTAATATATTTGCAGCCATTTTATTACCAAATTTATCTAAAATTATATTATCTGAAGGTAAATCAATTCGCACGTGGCTGCAATCATTATCTGAATGTCTTTTTAATTTTTCATAAGTGCCGAAGTTTTGTAAACAACCATCACAAAGATGCTTTCTTTCTTTCTTTTTTGATATTTGTTTTGATACTAAACTACTTAAATCTTTTATCCAACAATAATGATTATTACCATCTACGGCAGTTATCAAAAGTAAATTTACGTGCACATTTTTCTTTATTGGATTATAATGTAATGGACCTACAATCTCATTTACATGTTTTCCGTTTTTTAAAAATCTTTCGATGCCATATACATTAATGGATAAATTATTATTTTGTTCAAAAATTTTAATATCCTTTAAAGCAACAGGAAACACTATATTAGAAAAATCAAATACTTCACTGAAATTTGGATATGAAGAAGTTTGTTGGGGGTCCCCTTTTGGCATACAAACTGCAGAAACCATCGCCCAGGCAAAACAGCAATTGTCTGTATTCCGAATATTGATCAGACACTTTGATTTGTAGTAGGGAATTGCGACATATGATGATGCGTTCAGTGGGTTGTGTTTGTTGATATTTAATTCCAAATGTAGAATTTTTTGCAGGATCCATCCTTTAAAATAGTACATTATGTAAGAGGCAATTAAAAAAAAAAAATCTTCTGACCTACCCGAATCCCTTTCTGGTAATTCATCGGCCTTGGATGAAATGATTTTTAAGAGATTCTCATAAATTTCGTCTAGATCTGTTGATTCAACAACAATGAAAAATGGTGTATTGAAGGATTTAACCGACATATTGTTTAATGTTGGGGAATAGTACACACCAAACAACTCGGCATTGACTTTTATAGATTGGTGTTCTTGCTGCTTCTGTCGTATAAGCAAAAAAATATTCTCTCTTGCTTCATTCAAAAAGTATTTGATATCCACGTGATATTTTTGGGAATATATTTTGTACGAAGCTATACGACATTTGAATGCACTTCTAATCATATCAATACCATTACCATATTTAATAGTGCTATTATTTTTATGAATATTTGTCCTTAAATGTGCATTCCAGGTTTGTATATCGACATTTTTACTGCACTCTTGACAAAAGCGAGTTTGTTCTTTTTTAAAAAAAGTTTGCTCGACTGTAAAAAATATTACATAAGTGGAACCCAGTCAAAAAAATATGAAAACGCTTACCATCAATTATGAAATCTTCTACTTTTGAAGGATCATTCGGTTTTACACACGTTTTCAAAATGTGTTTTTTAATGTATCTTTTTTGCTTAAACTCTTTCAAGCAATGTGTACATACAAAAGCCATGTTACTAAACTAATTTTATTTACAGACTACTTCATATTATAAACTTCTTTATACCCCTCCTCTTTTTTCAAAGAACGAGGTGCATAAATTTGATAACAGATAGTTCTGTCTGTCAATATTTTTTTTAATATCTATAAAAGTTTGAATATTTAAATTTCCGTTAATATTTTTTTCTAAATTTATTTGATTGAAAATAATTGACTTTATGGTTGAGCTACACTGCCTCAAGTTGCTTGTCGAAAGATCTGCCTTATTTTTTGAATTAATAAATTTTGAAAGATCATGGGTCTGATTCACATTTTCTATTTCGTCCTTTTTGGTTGAAATCTCGTTATTAAATTCTAAATTGTTTTGAATGTTTATATCAAACGAAGGAAAGTCACTAGATATCAAGTCCAAGGTGTTGATTGTGGAATTTGGTACAGCTTGGGATGTTGAGGGTTGCGGGGCTAGATTTTCGAAAATATCAACATTTACTTCTCTTTTTTCATCCAAAATTTCAAAATCAGAGGAATCGGAAAGGTTGAAAGAGTCTGGAAGAGAATCGTTGGAAAAATCTAGGAAAGGAATATTCATGTAACAACTTATACACTCTTCAAACCCATGTTCTTTGCAAACGTTGTTGAAAGCATTAAAAAAAGGTGTAGCGTTCTCAACATTATCGAAAGAATTTAAATCATCATTGAAATTTAAATCATCATTGAAAGTTAAATGACTTACCGGATCACACATTTGCACAAAAGTATTAAACAAAAAAGAACTTAACCGAAGATCAACGAGTGTCTGAACTGAAATTTTCAGGTAGATTTTATAGGACCAAAAAGGGCGTTCACTTATTTTTTTCGAACCCCTCTCGGTACTCTCGGTGTACGGTAATCTTTCGAGACCCGGTTCCAAATAAATCTTACATCTTAACCCATTTACGTTCAAGTGCCGTTTTTTTTTTCTGCAATACCTTTTTAAAATTTATGGGTGACATAACCTACTAACAGACAACGGTTCTACCCACTCTCGATTTGTATCGGGTTTTTTAAAAGTTAAAAGTACCGTAGGCGATTCTCCGTGAGTTGTATATCATTTGAACTTTTTTTTGCAAGATGTTTTTTTTTTAATGGTTGAATCGGGGTTACGACTGCATTGAACCGGGTTTTTAAAATTTAAAAGGCTCATTTAAATTTCTTGTTTTACCCTACATCGAAAACAATTTATCTCGTACATTGTTGCAGGCTTTTTTGTTGTATAGTGACCAACCTAAACACATCTGGTACTTTCAGGATTTATCTGTTTTATTTTTTTTTCAATTTAGGTATTGGTGGTCATAATCTCCATCACTTTCTAGAAAGTTTAATAAGTATTTAATGAGGAAAACAATTTCGACTCCTTATCAAAATCGATGTGAGCTCTTAAGCCATTCATTCCTATCTCTTAATGTGAAATGTCCGATTTTTATTACCAGAACATTTCGGCTTCCTTTGATTTTTACCACCTATTGTCGGCGACTAGGTACAAAAAAGGATTCTTTTTTCTCAAGGCACCTGCCACGGGAGCATAGGTTCCTACCAGCAAACTCCGTAGCGCAATGTTGACAAACGTAGCGAAATTTCACTATGCATAGCAATTACTTAAGTGCTTCTGCGTAGTGGGGTTCTTGAAGCGACCAGTGACGCTGACTACTTTTTCTATCTCACATTGGCAACACTTAAATGCGGCTCGATATTCGATACAGAAGCGGTTTTTTTGCGGCATTTTTTTCAGACAACAAAGGGATAAGAGATGTTCTGGGAATACAAATCGGACATAATAGTGTTATGCGGTTTTAAAATCTTACTGAAAGATCTTTTTTAGTGAGATCGATAAACCTTCGACTACCAAACGGTTTATTTTACCCGATGTCTCCACCCAAAGCAGGTATACTGCAAGGTGACCAGTCTCTTATGCGAATTGGAAAGTGTTACTGACCTATGTTTATTTTTAAATCATTGCTTTTTTTATTTCTATTCTAATAAAACAACATATAATTTTTTCTACTCTTTTTAATTTTTTAAATGGATAAAAAAATACAAAAAATTTTAAAACAAAAAATACATTTGTCACGACTCTTCAAAGTTCTGTTTCTTCAACAGGTGATTGTCTATTGGCTGGACTTGAGGCTTATTACAATAAATGCAGACTTCTATTGGCATATTAACAAAAAGGTTTGTTTTACATAATGAGCAAAATAAGTCGATTTTATCACAACAGGAAAACGCTTTTTGATAGTGTGTGTTTATGAATGTATGTTTTCCCAATGGTGCTTCAAGTCCATGATGATAATGGCAAAGGAAGCATATATTGTAGAAACCTCCATACATTGATTCGATTACAACATAAGATTGTACGGTACATATTTGCTTGATGAGATAGTTTGGATTGCATGTCTCACTTGCATTTATTTTTTTTATCACTACTTCTGCCGTTCCCCCACATCTTTGGTCTTCCACCTGATCCATAGAAATAGCTTCATCTTCCGAATCTTCATCATCCTCACGAACATTATTTTTGTCTACGCTCACCAAAATATTAGCTCTTTGAGCTAATTTGTTGACCGGATCTTCATTGAATATTAACTCTTCATCGTCGTACATGGAAGCGATCGTTTTGTCTAATGTTGACATGGCACATTTTTTTGAAGTAAAACAGATAACTCGTTTAGACATTTTTTTCACTGTTCTTTCGAAAAAAAAGCAGATTATAACTGGAATATACCTCAGTTCGAGAGATTAAATAGGTATCCTCTGCAGGAAAATTTCCTTCATGAATGAAAAAGTGGGATGGGCTTGCATGAATCTACAGATAAACCCTTCGGAAAAGTGGTGCTTAAGTCACAGGTAGTGGTGGCCGAATGGTAGGAAACGTAATTGGCGAATGGTAGCAAGGTGGAAAGTTGGGGGGCGGGCGGTCTGCGGCAGTAGGAAATTCGCGGTGGACGACTGGTGGCGGAAGAATGGTAGGAAAGTGGCGGGTGGGCGGGCGGGGTCGTCTGGTGAAAGTAGGTCACGGAAAGTAGGTCAGCGCCAGCGCAGGGTCTACCCCCCAATTACAACTACTACCATTAAATTACCACTCAAAAAAGAAGATAAAAGTTTTGGCATTAAAACAGAATATGAAATGAATTATGATAAAAATGAATCCAGTAATGATGATGATTATGATGTTGATGAAGATGATAATGATAATAACCTCAACCTAAAGCAGGGTGAAGGATTATTAATGTCACTTTCAAATAATCCAATTGATTATGTTTTCTGGGATGATCCAAATGAACTTGTCGATAGACTACGATTGTTAATCGCGTCGCACACTGCAGGCAATACAGGTCATGTAAACGAAATAAATTCAATTATTGAAGAATTACGTGAAGCTAAAATAATTGAATAAAAAAATGTCTAAATATATCACTAATGTGAAACGTCATATAGTTGAAGAACTGCATAAGCCTACAAGAATAAATTTCAAACGACGAAAAGTTATTATAAAATCACTGTTGGATTTGATGCAAGCTGATTTAGTGGATATGAGGGAATATGAAAAAGAAAATATCGGATATAAGTATATTTTAATTGTAATAAATTGTTTCTCAAAATATGTGTGGGCATATCCCTTAAAAACAAAAACTTCCAAGGAAGTTGCTAATGCTCTTGAAAATGTATTTAAAGTTGAAAAACCCATTCATCTTTGTACCGATTCTGGTGGTGAATTTCTTGGAAGAGAAGTGCAAAATTTAATGAAAAAATATAATATTATTCATTATGTAGTATATAGTGAAAAAAAAGCATCCATTGTTGAACGAGTTAATAGAATACTTAAAGGAATAATGTGGAAAGAATTTAGTCTCCAAGGATCATATAAGTGGATGCCAACATTATTGAATAGGGTTATAAAGCTTTATAATAATAGAACGATACTAACATAGAACGACGGGTCTTAAACCCTCAGAAATTTCCAAGAAACATGAGAAAATGTTACTAGATACAGTTTACAGTAGAATAAAAATAACATCCAAACCAAAATTCAATATTGGCGATTATGTAAGAATTTCAAAACTTAGAGGAGTTTTCGACAAGCAATATCAACCAAATTGGTCAACTGAAATATTCATGATTAGAAAAGTTCATTTGACAAATCCTGTTACCTATTTACTTGAAGACAACAACAAACATCCTATTAAAGGAGGATTCTATGACTATCAATTACAGACAGTAAAATATCCTGATGTTTATTTAGTTGAGAAAGTATTAAAACGAAAAGGTGATCAGATATTTGTGAAGTGGCTTGGTTTTGATGATAAGCATAACAGCTGCATACATAAAAATAATTATCAATAATGTTAGGAATTATAGGTGAAAATAAAAAACTTTTTATCAAAATAATAATTGTTTTATTTCATACTTTAAATTGATTTTATTGAAATAATTTTAGTTAAAAGTAATTTCAGTTGCTCTAGTAAACCGATGTTTGGACATGATATACCAAATAAACTGAAATCAATTTTCTTGGATTCCCTCATAGTGCTTGTAAATTCATCAAACTCATAATAATATCCATTAGAAAAAAAATATAACAATCCATTATTATAGCGGAATACATGATCAATTTTACTAGGAATTCCAGGAAAATATTCTGTAATTAGTCCTGTATTCTTTACTCTTAAACTACATTCATCGATTTCTACAAACATATTTTCATCAAAAAACCAATAGGTTTTACCCATATATGAACTAACAGCCCCTTGAATATTGGAAATTTGTGGTATTATATTATTAATATGTTCTGTTTTTATTAACCTAAATGATCCATATTCAAAAATATACATTTTATTTTCAATAAATAATACAACATCATTATTAGGCCTTTGATATATTGCAGATATGTTTTGAAAATTTAATTGCAGAAATTTCAACCAATCGGTTATTAAATAAGGCGTATTTTGAATTTTCTTTGATTTCAAATTCAATAACCACACATATTTTTCATTAAAAATATACAATTTTTTGTTAACAATTAAATATCTGTTCAACGTATTAGAATTGACATCACAAATTATTGGACTTTTCTTTCTATCACCTCGATTATCATTCTCTATCTCTTCATTTGATTTTAGAATTACCGGCTTATTTGTTTTAGTCGTTTTCGGTTTCATAGTAGTAGTAGTTGTTGTTGTTGTTGTTGTTGTTTGTGATTGATTAAAAGATGATTGTTTTTTCCCATAGAGTTCTTGAATAGCTTCTTTATCATCACTGCTTAATCGAACATCAGGGCCTATGTCAAGTAAAGCAGGATACATAATAGATTGAGTATCATGTGAGTGTCCAATTCCTAGAGCATGTCCTATTTCATGAGTTAAAACTTGCAATAAACTCTTTTGGCTATCTGGAACTGATGGTGCGTCTTCCAAATACCAAGTAAATGCTCTATTCATATGAATTTCCACAGTCTCAGATTGTAAACTTGGAAAATAAGAATGTGCCAGAACATAATAATGAAATTCATATGGACATTCATTTTTATTAGCATAAAATGAATGATTGGAATAATTAAATGATATTATTATATTTGGGTTGACATTGGAATAGACAAATTTCAAGTTTGTCTCGTTTTCCCATAAGTTGAAAGCATTCTCTGCAACTTTTATATATTTTTGTTTTATACGTAAATGTGAAGTGGGAGGATGTATAATCCATTTTATTATTTTATATTTCCATTTTCCTTCATCAACATTTCCAATTTGATAATTATTATCTCTTGTGCCACACCAAAATCTCTCAATTAAAGAAGCAGTTTCACCATTCAATGTTCCATCAGCTTTTAAATTATAAGCAATTTGAAACTCTTTCAGAGCCTTTTCAGGTGTTACTAAATCAGACACATTATTATTTTGAGAAATATTCAAGTATCCATGATAACTTAAAAAATCTATTAGGTCTTTTTCTTCTAATTTACTTCCGTCTGTTAAACCAAAAACTAATAGCACTAATAAAAAATACATCTTGCACACTACACTGTAGGCTACTGACTATTATTAACTTGTGTTTTGATTATAATAAATTTTAACTATCACTAATTTAAACAAAAACGAATCTCAGTTAAAATAATGTAACGGTAGAACAGCGAAACACAATTGCGATATTTTTAGAAACACAAACAATAATCTCATTCATAGATAGTTTTTGAACGCTTGCCAAATTCTTGTGCGTCATCACGCGCGAGTTTTAACAAGATTCTTTTCTTTTGTTCTTTCATCACCCAAGGCCGCTTTGACATTCAGATTTTTTTAGACTAGGCTAGGCTTGGACATTATTCTTTCTACAACCTCTTCTGGTCATTGACGATAGGATTCTTCAGATTTCATATGCAGATTTTTTCTACTTCTTCAGATGTGGATGGCATGAGCCATCGAGAGAGACCAACGTACCTGTAACCTCGCTATCTATACTACTCCTATGCACGTTCTCTACGTCGAAAAACATTTTTTCGAGCTGAGGAAACTCGTTCGTGATTTGCTTCAAACTGATGTCGTGCATGAAAGTCGTTTTGTTGTTCTCAACCACTCGATGACTCATGGTTACGTGCGGCGAGTTTAGAAATTTGTAAATGACATAGCAACCGCAATTGATGTGCAACATTTGCCTGATGAAATTATTGAGCTGCTTACAGCGACCAATTAATTTCGGCTCAACAATCTGACTCCAAGGTAATTGATCCTTGTTGATCTGGCAGTAGTGCTCTGTTTGATCGCAAAAAATACTTTCTATTACTTCGTTCGTTTCCATGCCGAGTGCCACTCGAATGCGATCCTCGTGAGTAGCACCAAATAGAGTTTCCAGGCGCATTGTGTTCAAAAAAAATTTCTCAGGTTACCAACGAGTCGCTGTAGTTGAGTTGTGGAAGATTCGCATTAAACGACGACGGTACGGTTCGATTAAAAACCGATTGCGTCGGCATCTGAAATACCAGGCTCTTTATAGCGTCCACATCTTTACTCGTGCTAATTTGATCACGCACTTTAAAATAGTTCGAGAGTGTTACAAGTTCATTACCGGATTTCTGAATTTGCGTACCGTGATCTTTCAATGGTCTAACTATCTGCGTTTCCAGTACATTTTTTATTTGGTTCAATCCGGTATTAATGCGGTCAAGAGTTTGTTCGCGGTCTTTGGATAAACGATCCATTAGTCTAGTTTCCAACTGATTAACCGTCTCTTGAAAACGAGTGGCGGCTGTCCCAAGACCGTAACGGGCCCTACGATAACCGGTACCGTTTGAGTCTACAGCTGCGTCCATTGAATCCATTGAATCCATTGAATCCATTGAATGCATACTGTGTCCGTTGTCACCTATCGCCGCATAATTCGAGTATTCTGAACGTGAAGTTGCCTTCGATTTGCTTCGCCAAAGTTTAAAGAGCAAGTAACAACACCCGAATCTGATGAACGTGTATATTACATATTTGACAATATTTCCCAAATTGGCCAGCGAACCTATAATCGAACGAGGCAACTGGTTGTAAAGATCCGCTATTGTTTCGCTTATCGACTTGGAAACGCATTTGATCACCTCGTTTGCATGTAATATGGTCGGATCGTAATTTTCTTTACCCTGCGAATTTTCTTTGGACGCTGTGCATTTCAAACATTGTGGAGAATTCGACGTACAAGTACAATCCGAAAGCGGGAAATTAGTCGGAAGAGTCGTACAGGCACCCATGCCCGAACCCACCGTGGGAAACGAACAAGAGCATTTAATTATTTTACAGCCCACAGTTGTTTGATTATGCGTTTTATAATAGATACAACCAGAGCGAATTTCTGCTATCGCGTTCAGCGCACTATAGATGGTCCCGCCGACAAAGATCGACCCAATGGCGAACAAAGCATATTTTCCAGTTTTACTTTTCCTTTCTTCAATTTTGTCCACCTTCTCTTTGGTCTTTGAGTCTTTGGCAATCTCTGTTTCGAGTTCCGCCGAATTCGTTTTCAGGTCGAGATCCGGCAGAGAGCTACGGATCTCTTCGCCGGTTGCCGCAATGTTTTTCAAATGTTTCTCGGGCATTTCCAGAGCCTCTCGATTCATAGCCTGAATATATCGGTTTGTCTCGACGGCCATCGATGCCATTGCGGGATTGGCTTTCGAAAGCGTTCGAGCAGCTTCCCCTTCTCGTAGACCGGAAATAAAGTCATGCGTATCCATTGAACCGATCGTTTTGAAATTCACGGTTTCCGTCGAACCAAAAAACTCCTTCATTAGTTCGTTAGAATTATCGAGCAGCTTCAAGTTCTTTTTGAAATCCCCTTCGATCGTTTCTCTCGCCCAGGCCCCTCTGATTTCGCTAGAGAAACCCATCTGCTTAGTTTGGGTCTAACGTTCGTCGGCATAGAAAAATCTCGTAAAAAAATATACCCAACTAAGTCGGAGTGGAAGCCATGGAGCTGGACGAATTCTTGTAGCTACTTTCCGGTTTTATGATATAGACAAACGCTGCCAGTGAAATTAAAGCAATAGAAATTGTAATAACTCGAGACGATTGGGGTTCTTAGGCCTTCAGTAAAACTACTATGTTGGTTTACTTCATAATGTATATTAATATCATAATGCATTTTCATAAGCGAACAGCGGTCATTGTACCTGCTGACTTAACAATTAGGTAACGGCAATAATATAATAATATAATATTAGCTAACTAATCAATTTGCACCATCAGATGCCATACCGGGTGTATTTACCCTATTACACCTCCCCCCAATAAATAAAAGAATTTTCTTTCTATTGAATGAAAATTCTTCTTCTTATCAGAAAGTAGGTAAAATGTTAAAATGTGTAATACAGCAATAAAATACAACCAATAAAAAAAAAAATTAAAAAAAAAAAATTTACCTTGTTTTTTTCCCAATTAATTAAAAATAATTATTTTCTAGAATCCTTCTTAAAACCTAATGAAATTAAAAAAAAATACACCTAATAAGCATACAATACTGGTACTAGGGGCCCCATAATAAAATACCTAACAATTACATAATATTTCCTAACTCTTAACTACACAATATAGATTTTTGTCCTGTTCTTATGAACGATAATTTCTTTATTATTTTTCACAATTTTTACATTAGGGGACAAATCCTCTAATACTAAATATGGTCCCAAAAAACAGGGACTGGAGATCTTATCTCCCGTCTCATTTTTAACTAAGACCATATCTCCTTTTTTGTAAGAAATAGGGTTTGAAGTTTTATCATAATTTTGTTTTCGCTTCAATTTGGAATGAATTAAATTTTTTCTCGCATTATCGTTTGCCTTTTGTAATCTGTATTTCAGCTCTAAAGGGTAGTTGTCAAAATTATTTATAGGATCGATGGTATTGGTTAAGTTACTTGGAATGTGACATTTTCGTCCGAAAACTAGCTCAAACGGAGTATATCGAGTTTCTGAGTGCACTGTGGTATTGTAAGAAAAACTCCAATATGGAATCCACTCGCTCCAAGCAGCATTGTTATCAGATGCTTGGGTTCGGAGAAATGCTCCTAAGACTTTATGTGAATTTTCCAGTGCGCCTATACTTTCGTGATGATAGGCAGTTGATTGAAGATGATTTATTTTCAAGATTTTCGCAATTTCGGCCATAGTAGAAGAGATAAATTCGGTACCCCTATCAGTAGCTATTTCTGAGGGAATTCCGTATCTCAAAATAAAGTTATCCACGAAACTTTTCGCAACAGTTAATGCATCTTTGGTTTTCAATGGATATGCTTCAATGAATTTTGTTAATTCGCACTGAAGAGTTAGTATATAAGAAAATTCATTAATATCCGTTGGCAGAGGTCCTACCAAATCTAAATATACCTTTTGAAATGCAAAATTAGCTGTACTTGTAATTACCATGGGTTCTTTAATGTAATGATCTGTATGTTTCATTTTTTGGCAACTGTCGCATCTTTTTACAAATTTTTGAACGTCTTTATACATTCCTGACCAATAATAGTACTTTTTAATATTATTCACCATTCGATTAATTCCCGCGTGTCCACTAGTGGGCAGTAAATGAAAATCATTTAATATTATTCGCTTTTCGTCAACAATTCTTTTCACATCGCTAATAACATATATACGGGGACCGGTCCAATTATCATCTTTTATTTCTTTCAATATCCATTCAATAATGTCTTTATTATTTTTATCTTTTAACATAACTAATTCGCGAATTTTTAATCGATTGCTTAGAATAATCAAATCTCTCAACATTCCGTCTCGCGTCAATGTTGATCGAGCATTTTGATTAAAATAAATAGCAGCATGCGAAGGAACAAAATGGAAATCTCCCAAACTTGCGGACACGATATGTTTAAGTCGACTTATTACTTTTTCTGAGGCTGGCATTAATTGGATACTATTTTCAGGTTTTTTCAGTATTTCTACAATATCTGGTTGATCAGGCCAAACATTTGTAGTTTCCTCTGCTTCCTGTATATTAGCATTGGAATTGCGTGCACACTGGGCCCTAGTCAATACGGCAATTACTTTATCATTCATACTTTTTAAATCATTAGACCTTAAGGTGACTCTAGATAGAGCGTCAGCCGTCACATTTTCAGATCCCCTAACATACTCAATATAAAAGTCATATTCTTCTAAGCCTAACCTAAACTTTGTTAACCGACTTGAAGGTTCAGTCATATTAACTAGGTATATTAAAGGTCTATGGTCAGTCAAAATTTTAAAACGTCGCCCAAATAAATAAGGTCTGAAATACTTTATCGCCCAGTAAATAGCTAAAAGTTCTTTCTCTATTGTCGGATAATTAACTTCCGCTTTATTCAAACTTCTACTTGCATATGCAACTGGTTTTTCATTGATATTTGATAAGGTAGCTCCGATGGCAATATTAGAAGCATCAGTTCGAAGAATGAATTCGCTTTTATCTGAAAAGTCTGGGTAGTCTAGAACTGGAGGATTAATAAGAGCATTCTTGAGAAATAAAAATGATTTTTCGCATTCATGAGTCCATTCAAAAATAACATATTTTTTACAAAGTTTATTTAATGGTACAGTTTTTTCTGCAAAATTTGGAATAAATTTTCTGTAGTAGTTTGCGAAAGCTACAAATCTCTTTAATTCATTTGCATTTGTTGGCCTGGGATAATTTTGAAGAGCTTTAACTTTACTATTGTCGGGCAAAATTCCATTTTCTGAAATAACATGTCCAAGGTAAAGGATTTGTTTTTTCAAAAATTCACATTTTGAGGGATTTAATTTTAAATTGACTTCACGAAGCCTGTTGAAAACAGCAATTAAATTTTTATTATGGTCTACGAGATTTCTTCCAAAAACTATTAAGTCGTCGAGATAAACAAAACATTTTTCGTAATTTAGGCCCGTATTCTCAGTCACACCTCAAATTAAGGACTCCTCGTGACTTGAAGGTCGCCTTGAATAAGGACGCCTTCGTGGTATGCGACTTGGGCGTTTCATAGTAGCGAATTAAAGAATCCTTATTGAAGGAAGCCTTGGCTTAAGTTTTGCAACTGGCAACAACGGTTTCTACGAAATGTCTATTGTTATTGTCATTAAG